GTGAATGGATGAGGGGGGAGGGAACCATGAGGCAGGAGCCAGAGAAGGCAACATATGACATTCAGCTGTGGTGAGACTATAAAATCCGCTCTCCCCGGACCCTCCATTCCCTGTATCCGCTCTCCGCGGACCCCCCATTCCCTGTATCCGCTCTCCGCGGACCCCCCATTTCCTGTATCCGCTCCCCCCGGACCCCGCATTCACTATATCCGCTCTCCGCGGACCCCCCATTCCCTGTATCCGCTCTCCCCGGACCCCGCATTCACTATATCCGCTCTCCCCGGACCCCGCATTCACTGTATCTGGTCTCCCCGGACCCCGCATTCACTGTATCCGCTCCCCCCGGACCCCGCATTCACTATATCCGCTCTCCCCGGACCCCGCATTCACTGTATCCGCTCTCCCCAGACCCCGCATTCACTATATCTGGTCTCCCCGGACCCCGCATTCACTATATCTGGTCTCCCCAGACCCCGCATTCACTATATCCGCTCTCCCCGGACCCCGCATTCACTATATCCGCTCTCCCCGGACCCCGCATTCACTATATCCGCTCTCCCCGGACCCCGCATTCACTGTATCCGCTCTCCCCGGACCCCGCATTCCCTGTATCCGCTCTCCCCGGACCCCGCATTCCCTATATCCGCTGTCCCGGACCCCGCATTCACTATATCCGCTCTCCCCGGACCCCGCATTCACTATATCCGCTCTCCCCGGACCCCGCATTCACTATATCCGCTCTCCCCGGACCCCGCATTCCCTGTATCCGCTCTCCCCGGACCCCGCATTCCCTATATCCGCTGTCCCCGGACCCCGCATTCACTATATCCGCTCTCCCCGGACCCCGCATTCACTATATCCGCTCTCCCCGGACCCCGCATTCCCTATATCCGCTGTCCCCGGACCCCGCATTCACTATATCCGCTCTCCCCGGACCCCGCATTCCCTATATCCGCTCTCCCCGGACCCCGCATTCACTATATCCGCCGCTCTCCCCGGACCCCGCATTCACTATATCCGCTCTCCCCGGACCCCGCATTCCCTATATCCGCTCTCCCCGGACCCCGCATTCACTGTATCCCCTCCCCCCGGACCCTGCATTCCCTATATCCTCTGTTCAGAGGATACTGCCATCTTGTGTCTAACTGATATATTGCCGGATGTTCATCATAGGTGGTGCACTATGTGGAGTTCTGTGTAATGAGGAATACGGATGACACCAAGACGCTCATCAGGAGGGAGCTTCCTCTGGAGACCTCATTCAGCAAGCTAGTCTTCGGAGTCCAAGTGGGACCAAAGGTGCAGTTAGACTGTAACATTGTACACTGCGTGAGGTGAGCGGATATATGGTAGAGGACGGTGAGTGGATATATGGTGGAGGACGGTGAGCACATATATGGTGGAGGACGGAGAGCGGATATATGGTGGAGGACGGTGAGCAGATATATGGTGGAGGACGGTGAGCAGATATATGGTGGAGGATGGAGAGCACATATATGGTGGAGGACGGTGAGCGGATATATGGTGGAGGACGGTGAGCGGATATATGGTGGAGGACGGTGAGCGGATATATGGTGGAGGACGGAGAGCGGATATATGGTGGAGGACGGAGAGCGGATATATGGTGGAGGACGGTGAGCAGATATATGGTGGAGGATGGTGAGCGGATATATGGTGGAGGATGGTGAGCAGATATATGGTGGAGGACGGTGAGCGGATATATGGTGGAGGACGGTGAGCGGATATATGGTGGAGGACGGTGAGCGGATATATGGTGGAGGACGGTGAGCGGATATATGGTGGAGGACGGTGAGCGGATATATGGTGGAGGACGGAGAGCGGATATATGGTGGAGGACGGTGAGCGGATACATGGTGGAGGACAGTGAGGAGATATATGGTGGAGGACATTGAGCGGATATATGGTGGAGGACATTGAGCAGATATATGGTGGAGGACGGTGAGGAGATATATGGTGGAGGATGGAGAGCAGATATATGGTGGAGGATGGAGAGCAGATATATGGTGGAGGATGGTGAGCACATATATGGTGGAGGAGGGTGAGGAGATATATGGTGGAGGACGGTGAGGAGATATATGGTGGAGGATGGAGAGCAGATATATGGTGGAGGATGGAGAGCAGATATATGGTGGAGGATGGTGAGCACATATATGGTGGAGGAGGGTGAGGAGATATATGGTGGAGGACATTGAGCAGATATATGGTGGAGGACAGTGAGCAGATATATGGTGGAGGACGGTGAGCGGATATATGGTGGAGGACACTGAGCACATATATGGTGGAGGATGGTGAGCGGATATACGGTGGAGGACGGTGAGCAGATATACGGTGGAGGACGGTGAGCAGATATACGGTAGAGGACGGTGAGCAGATATACGGTAGAGGACGGTGAGCAGATATATGGTGGAGGATGGTGAGCAGATATATGGTGGAGGATGGAGAGCGGATATATGGTGGAGGATGGTGAGCGGATATATGGTGGAGGATGGAGAGCGGATATATGGTGGAGGATGGAGAGCAGATATATGGTGGAGGACGGTGAGCAGATATATGGTGGAGGATGGAGAGCAGATATATGGTGGAGGATGTAGAGCAGATATATGGTGGAGGATGTAGAGCGGATATATGGTGGAGGATGTAGAGCGGATATATGGTGGAGGATGTAGAGCGGATATATGGTGGAGGACATTGAGCAGATATATGGTGGAGGACATTGAGCAGATATATGGTGGAGGACGGTGAGCACATATATGGTGGAGGACATTGAGCACATATATGGTGGAGGACATTGAGCAGATATATGGTGGAGGACATTGAGCACATATATGGTGGAGGACATTGAGCAGATATATGGTGGAGAACGTTGAGCACATATATGGTGGAGGACATTGAGCAGATATATGGTGCAGGACAGTGAGCAGATATATGGTGGAGGACATTGAGCACATATATGGTGGAGGACATTGAGCACATATATGGTGGAGGACATTGAGCAGATATATGGTGGAGGACATTGAGCAGATATATGGTGGAGGACATTGAGCAGATATATGGTGGAGGACATTGAGCACATATATGGTGGAGAACGTTGAGCACATATATGGTGGAGAACGTTGAGCACATATATGGTGGAGAACGTTGAGCACATATATGGTGGAGGACATTGAGCACATATATGGTGGAGGACATTGAGCACATATATGGTGGAGGACATTGAGCACATATATGGTGGAGGACATTGAGCAGATATATGGTGGAGGACATTGAGCACATATATGGTGGAGGACATTGAGCAGATATATGGTGGAGGACATTGAGCACATATATGGTGGAGGACATTGAGCAGATATATGGTGGAGGACATTGAGCAGATATATGGTGGAGGACATTGAGCAGATATATGGTGGAGGACATTGAGCAGATATATGGTGGAGGACATTGAGCACATATATGGTGGAGAACGTTGAGCACATATATGGTGGAGGACATTGAGCAGATATATGGTGGAGGACATTGAGCACATATATGGTGGAGGACATTGAGCACATATATGGTGGAGGACATTGAGCACATATATGGTGGAGGACATTGAGCACATATATGGTGGAGGACATTGAGCACATATATGGTGGAGGAGGTTTTCTCACTGGGATTTGTGACAGATGCACATATTTTCGTCCTCCACAGGAGGGTTCACAGAAGAACAATATTTTGATTGGACTCGAGTTTATAATGACTTTTTTGGGTTGATTCAGGATTATTATTCTTTGTTTTGGTTTTTGTATTTAATTTCTTACTTTTTCACATTTTTGGATTCATCAGTATTGTGCAATTTCTTTTTTGAGGTTGTGCAGCATTTTTTCTTCACCTTTATTCTGAAAGCAAGATATCCCGCCTCACATGACCAACCTGTTTTATTGATCAGCCAATAAGGAGCCGAGATGAATATTTTCAGGGATCCCTCCGCCCGGCACATGATGCGTATGGTGAGGTTCAGCAGCCTCTTGTTGGTGTCGTAGAGTCTCATCCTCACCATGTAGTTCTGAGTCCCGGGGGGGATGAGCAGCTCCTTGCAGTACGGGAAGTTCTCCAGGGAGATTCCTGTACAATAACAATGATGAATATTATTAGATGATGAGATACGAGGAGAAGCCGAGGGGGAGCCGGGGGGGAGCAGAGGAAGAGCCGGGGGGGAGCAGAGGAAGAGCCGGGGGGGAGCAGAGGAAGAGCCGAGGGGGAGCAGAGGAAGAGCCGAGGGGGAGCAGAGGAAGAGCCGAGGGGGGGGGAGCAGAGGAGGAGCCGAGGGGGAGCAGAGGAGGAGCCGAGGGGGAGCAGAGGAGGAGCGAGGAGGGGGAGCGAGGAGGAGCCAGAGGAGGAGCCGAGGGGGGAGCCGAAAGGGAGCGAGGAGGGAGAGCCGGAGGAGGAGGAGGGAGGGGGAGCGAGGAGCCGGAGCCGAGGGGGAGCGAGGGAGGAGCCGAGGGGGAGCCGAGGGGAGGGGGGGGGAGCCGAGGGGAGGGGAGGGGAGGGGGGGGAGCCGGGGAGGAGCCGAGGGGGAGCCGGAGGGGAGCCGAGGGGGGAGCCGGAGGGGAGCCGAGGGGGAGGGGGGGGGGGGGGAGCCGGGGAGGGGGAGCCGGAGGGGAGCCGAGGGGGAGCCGGGGGAGCCGGGGGGGAGCCGGGGGAGCCGAGGGCCGAGGGGGGAGCCGGAGGGGAGCCGAGGGGGAGCCGGGGGGGAGCCGGAGGGGAGCCGAGGGGGAGCGGAGGGAGCTGAGGGGGAGCCGAGGGGGAGCAGATGGGGAGCCGAAGGGGAGCAGAGGAGGAGCCGAGGAGGAGCCGAGGCGGAGCCAGGGGGGAGCAGAGGAGGAGCAGAGGAGGAGCCGAGGCGGAGCCAGGGGGGAGCAGAGGAGGAGCCGAGGCGGAGCCAGGGGGGAGCAGAGGAGGAGCCGAGGCGGAGCCAGGGGGGAGCAGAGGAGGAGCCGAGGCGGAGCCAGGGGGGAGCAGAGGAGGAGCCGAGGCGGAGCCAGGGGGGAGAGGAGGAGGAGCCGAGGCGGAGCCAGGGGGGGGGAGAGGAGGAGGAGCCGAGGCGGAGCCAGGGGGGAGAGGAGGAGGAGCCGAGGCGGAGCCAGGGGGAGAAGAGGAGGAGCCGAGGCGGAGCCAGGGGGAGCGGGGAGGAGGAGCCGAGGCGGAGCCAGGGGGAGCGGAGGAGGAGCCGAGGCGGAGCCAGGGGGGAGCGGAGGAGGAGCCGAGGCGGAGCCGAGGCGGAGCCAGGGGGAGCGGAGGAGGAGCCGAGGCGGAGCCAGGGGGGAGCGGAGGAGGAGCCGAGGCGGAGCCAGGGGGAGCGGAGGAGGAGCCGAGGCGGAGCCAGGGGGAGCCGAGGCGGAGCCAGGGGGAGCCGAGGCGGAGCCAGGGGGAGCACAGGGGGAGCCGAGGCGGAGCCAGGGGGGAGCCGAGGCGGAGCCAGGGGGGAGCAGAGGAGGAGCCGAGGCGGAGCCAGGGGGGGAGCAGAGGAGGAGCCGAGGCGGAGCCAGGGGGGAGCACAGGAGGAGCAGAGGAGGAGCCGAGGCGGAGCCAGGGGGGAGCAGAGGAGGAGCCGAGGCGGAGCCAGGGGGGAGCAGAGGAGGAGCCGAGGCGGAGCCAGGGGGGAGCAGAGGAGGAGCCGAGGGGGAGCCAGGGGGGAGCAGAGGAGGAGCCGAGGCGGAGCCAGGGGGGGAGCAGAGGAGGAGCCGAGGCGGAGCCGAGGCGGAGCCAGGGGGGGAGCAGAGGAGGAGCCGATGCGGAGCCAGGGGGGAGCAGAGGAGGAGCCGAGGAGAAGCCGAGGCGGAGCCAGGGGGGAGCAGAGGAGAAGCCGAGGCGGAGCCAGGGGGGAGCAGAGGAGGAGCCGAGGCGGAGCCAGGGGGGAGCAGAGGAGGAGCTGAGGCGGAGCCAGGGGGGAGCAGAGGCGGAGCCAGGGGGGAGCAGAGGAGGAGCAGAGGAGGAGCCGAGGAGGAGCCGAGGCGGAGCCAGGGGGGAGCAGAGGAGGAGCCGAGGCGGAGCAGAGGAGGAGCCGAGGCGGAGCAGAGGAGGAGCCGAGGCGGAGCCAGGGGGAGCAGAGGAGGAGCAGAGGCGGAGCCAAGGGGGAGCAGAGGAGGAGCAGAGGCGGAGCCAGGGGGGGAGCAGAGGCGGAGCCAGGGGGGAGCAGAGGCGGAGCCAGGAGGGAGCAGAGGCGGAGCCAGGGGGGAGCAGAGGAGGAGCCGAGGCGGAGCCAGGGGGGAGCAGAGGAGGAGCCGAGGCGGAGCCAGGGGGGAGCAGAGGAGGAGCCGAGGCGGAGCCAGGGGGGAGCAGCAGAGGAGGAGCCGAGGCGGAGCCAGGGGGGAGCAGAGGAGGAGCCGAGGCGGAGCCAGGGGGGGGAGCAGAGGAGGAGCCGAGGCGGAGCCAGGGGGGAGCAGAGGAGGAGCCGAGGCGGAGCCAGGGGGGAGCAGAGGAGGAGCCGAGGCGGAGCCAGGGGGGAGCAGAGGAGGAGCCGAGGCGGAGCCAGGGGGGAGCAGAGGAGGAGCCGAGGCGGAGCCAGGGGGGAGCAGAGGAGGAGCCGAGGCGGAGCCAGGGGGGAGCAGAGGAGGAGCCGAGGCGGAGCCAGGGGGGAGCAGAGGAGGAGCCGAGGCGGAGCCAGGGGGGAGCAGAGGAGCCAGGGGGAGCCGAGGCGGAGCCAGGGGGGAGCAGAGGCGGAGCCAGGGGGAGCAGGGGGAGCAGAGGCGGAGCCAGGGGGGAGCAGAGGCGGAGCCAGGGGAGCAGAGGCGGAGCCGAGGCGGGAGGGGGGAGCAGGGGGGGAGCAGAGGCGGAGCCAGGGGGGCAGAGGAGGAGCCGAGGCGGAGCCAGGGGGAGCAGAGGAGGAGCCGAGGCGGAGCCAGGGGGAGCAGAGGAGGAGCCGAGGCGGAGCCAGGGGGAGCAGAGGGAGGAGCCGGAGGCGGAGCCAGGGGGAGCAGAGGAGGAGCCAGGGGGAGCAGAGGAGGAGCCGAGGCGGAGCCAGGGGGCAGAGGAGGAGCCAGGGGGAGCAGAGGAGGAGCCGAGGCGGAGCCAGGGGGAGGAGGGAGCCGAGAGGAGCCGAGGAGGAGCCGAGGCGGAGCCAGGGGGAGCCGAGGCGGAGCCAGGGGGAGCCGAGGCGGAGCCAGGGGGAGCCGAGGCGGAGCCAGGGGGAGCAGAGGAGAAGCCGAGGAGGAGCCGAGGCGGAGCCAGGAGGAGCCGAGGTGGAGCCAGGGGGAGCCAGGGAGGAGCCGAGGCGGAGCCAGGGGGAGCAGAGGAGGAGCCGAGGCGGAGCCAGGGGGGAGCAGAGGAGGAGCCGAGGCGGAGCCAGGGGGAGAGCAGAGGAGGAGCAAGGGGGGAGCAGAGGAGGAGCCAGGGGGGAGCAGAGGAGGAGCCAGGGGGGAGCAGAGGAGGAGCCAGGGGGGAGCAGAGGAGGAGCCAGGGGGGAGCAGAGGAGGAGCCAGGGGGGAGCAGAGGAGGAGCCGAGGCGGAGCCAGGGGGGAGAAGAGGAGGAGCCGAGGCGGAGGCAGGGGGAGAAGAGGAGGAGCCGAGGCGGAGAAGAGGAGGAGCCGAGGCGGAGAAGAGGAGGAGCCGAGGCGGAGAGAGGAGGAGCCGAGGCGGAGAAGAGGAGGAGCCGAGGCGGAGCGTACAATAACATGGTACCCCCCGCAGTAACCCCATCCCCAGATATAATCCCCCCCTACAATGCGGGTCCTACTGACACGAGACGAACACTCACCCATAACATGGTACCCCCCGCAGTAACCCCATCCCAAGATATATTCCCCCCCTACAATGCGGGTCCTCCTGACACGAGACGCTCACCCAGCTCGAAGTTCTGAGACGTGTCGGCGGTGGGGAGTGCCGTCTCCTTCCCGTGTTTCAGGGTTCCTTTTATCGGGGTTCCTTTGACATAGAAGTTGAGCTCGCAGGGCAGCAGGTTGCAGATGACGACGGTCGGCAGAAGGAAGATGCTGTGACCCGGCTGCCTGTAGATCTGCTTGGCGCTGTCTGAGAAGATACTGGAGGGCATATAATCCGGGTAATTGTCCTTCTTCAGAGCCACACAGAACCTGAGAGGGGAAAGAACAGAAATCCAGAGAATGGCCAACCTCAGGAACAACCGGATATCCGTCATATGAAGTGTGACTGGAGGCAAGTGTGTGTCTCTGTTCAGGAGGAGGTGTGGGAGGGTTGGATCCTCTGTCAGGGATACATGGCGGCCTGTGTCCTCTCCAGAGAGAATGACTCTAGTTCAGGGGTGGCCAACTGTGGCCCTACAGCTGTTGTAGAACTACAAGTCCCATGAGGCATTGGGAAACTAACTCCTAAAGGCAGAGGCATGATGGGACTTGTAGTTCACCAACAGCTGGAGGGCCACAGTTGCCCACCCCTGCTCTAGTTTGTACAAGTGACTATTATCTGGGACTGAAAATGTGGAGGAATTCCTCAAAGAGGAAGGGAATCTGCCCTCGTAGATTGTAAGCTCCCAGGATCAGCCCCTCCCTCGTAGATTGTAAGCTCCCAGGATCAGCCCCTCCCACGTAGATTGTAAGCTCCCGGGATCAGCCCCTCCCACGTAGATTGTAAGCTCCCGGGATCAGCCCCTCCCTGCCTGCAAGTCTTAGATTGTAAGCTCCTGGGATCAGGGCCCTCCCTCTTAGATTGTAAGCCCCCGGGATCCCCCTCCCTCTTAGATTGTAAGCTCCCGGGATCAGCCCCTCCCTCTTAGATTGTAAGCTCCCGGGATCAGCCCCTCCCTCTTAGATTGTAAGCTCCCGGGATCAGCCCCTCCCTCTTAGATTGTAAACTCCCAGGATCAGCCCCTCCCTCTTAGATTGTAAACTCCCAGGATCAGCCCCTCCCTCTTAGACTGTAAACTCCCAAGATCAGCCCCTCCCTCTTAGATTGTAAACTCCCAGGATCAGCCCCTCCATCTTAGTTTGTATACTCCCAGGATCAGCCCTCTCCCTCTTAGATTGTAAACTCCCAGGATCAGCCCCTCCCTCTTAGTTTGTATACTCCCAGGATCAGCTCCTCCCTCTTAGATTGTAAACTCCCGGGATCAGCCCCTCCCTCTTAGATTGTAAACTCCCAGGATCAGCCCCTCCCTCTTAGATTGTATACTCCCAGGATCAGCCCCTCCCTCTTAGACTGTGAACTCCCAGGATCAGCCCCTCCCTCTTAGATTGTATACTCCCAGGATCAGCCCCTCCCTCTTAGACTGTGAACTCCCAGGATCAGCCCCTCCCTCTTAGACTGTGAACTCCCAGGATCAGCCCCTCCCTCTTAGACTGTGAACTCCCGGGATCAGCCCCTCCCTCTTAGATTGTGAACTCCCGGGATCAGCCCCTCCCTCTTAGATTGTAAACCCCGGGATCAGCCCCTTCCTCTTAGACTGTAAGCTCCAGGATCAGCCCCTCCCTCTTAGACTGTAAGCTCCCAGGATCAGCCCCTCCCTCTTAGATTGTAAACTCCCAGGATCAGCCCCCTCCCTCTTAGATTGTAAGCTCCAAGGACCAGGCCCTCCCTCTTAGATTGTAAACTCCCAGGGTCAGGGCCCTCCCTCTTAGATTGTAAGCTCCCGGGATCAGCCCCTCCCTCTTAGATTGTAAGCTCCCGGGATCAGCCTCTCCCTCTTAGATTGTAAGCTCCCAGGATCAGGCCCTCCCTCTTAGATTGTAAGCTCCCAGGATCAGCCCCTCCCTCTTAGACTGTCAGCTCCCAGGGTTAGCCCCTCCCTCTTAGACTGTAAGCTCCCAGGATCAGTCCCCCCTCCCTCTTAGATTGTAAGCTCCCAGGATCAGCCCCTCCCTCTTAGACTGTCAGCTCCCAGGGTTAGCCCCTCCCTCTTAGATTGTAAGCTCCCAGGATATGCCCCTCCCTCTTAGATTGTAAGCTCCCAGGATCAGCCCCTCCCTCTTAGACTGTAAGCTCCCAGGGTTAGCCCCTCCCCCCTTAGATTGTAAGCTCCCAGGATCAGGCCCTCCCTTTTAGACTGTAAACTCCCAGGATTAGCCCCTCCCTCTTAGATTGTAAGCTCCCAGGATCAGCCCCTCCCTCTTAGATTGTAAGCTCCCAGGGTTAGCCCCTCCCTCTTAGATTGTAAGCTCCCGGGATCAGACCCCTCGCTCTTACAGTTGTGACCAAAATTATTAACCCCCAATGCTGTAAAGGGGTTTTAGGGACTATAGTGTACATTTGGAATTGTATCAGAATCAAATCCTACAAGGACGTTGTAACATCCCAAATGCAACTAAAATGACATCAATTGTTTATGTAATACAGTAGTAAATGGTTCTTATGGTTCTTATGTGGTTTCTTCATTGCCACAATTATTCAACCCCTTAAAGACTACCACTCTGAAGAACAGAGGTTCATACAGGTGCTTTCCATCAGTATTGAAAACACCTGTGGATGTCACCGAGCAGCAATCAAGCATAATAAGCACCAATTAGGCAGCTTTAAAATGACTGTGATACTCAGCTCCTTCTAGACATTTACTGGTGTGGTTACAAACATGGTGAAGGCAAGAGAATGGTCCAGGAAGACAAGAGAAGAGGTGATTTCTCTTCACAGGAAGGGCAATGGCTATAAGAAGATTGCAAAGATGTTAAACATACCAAGGAGACACCTTAGGAAGCATCATTCGCAAATTCAAGGCAAAGGGCACTGTTGAAACGCTACCTGGTCGTGGCAGAAAGAAGATGCTGACTTCGACTGCTGTGCGCTACCTGAAGCGTAGAGTGGAGAGAAGTCCCCGTGTGACTGCTGAGGAACTGAGAAAAGATTTGTCAGATGTGGGTACAGAAGTTTCAGCCCAGACAATAAGACGCACACTGCGTAATGAAGGCCTCCGTGCCAGAACTCCCAGGCGTACACCCCTTGCTGTCTCCAAAGAATAAGAAGAGTCGACTGCAGTATGCCAAAAGCCATGTGGACAAACCACAAAAGTTGTGGATAGTGTTCTGTGGACTGATGAAACAAAATTAGAACTGTTTGGGCCCATGGATCAACGCTATGTTTGGAGGAGGAAGAACAAGGCCTATGATGAAAAGAAAACCTTGCCTACTGTGAAGCATGGTGGAGGGTCAATCATGCTTTGGGGCTGTTTTGCTTCTGCAGGTACAGGGAAGCTTCAGCGTGTGCAAGGTACCATGAATTCTCTTCAGTACCAGGAGATATTGGATGGAAACGTGATGCAGTCGTCGTCACACCTGAGGCTTGGGAGACGTTGGACCTTTCAACAGGACAATGATCCCAAGCATACCTCCAAGTCCACTAGAGCATGGTTGCAGAGGAAAGGCTGGAACATTTTGGAGTGGCCATCGCAGTCACCAGACTTAAATCCGATTGAGAACCTCTGGTGGGACTTAAAGAAAGCAGTTGCAGTGCGCAAGCCTAAGAATGTGACTGAACTGGAGGCCTTTGCCCATGAAGAATGGGCGAAGATCACCCGTACCCGCTTAGATCGCTGCAAGACACTTGTGTCAAGCTATGCTTCACGTTTTAAAAGCTGTTATAACTGTAAAAGGATGCTGTACTAAGTACTAAGATTGAATGTCACTTGGGGGTTGAATAAAACTGATAATGCTGTGAGCACAGAAAAGACATTTGTGGTTATTTCATTATAACTGTTATGTTATATTTGTCTGACCTACAAGTGCCTCTTTAATGTAAATGTAAGCAAGATGACTGAATGATCAAAAGCAATGTCAAACTGGCCAAAACACTCAATTTCAGTGGGGGTTGAATAATTTTGGTCACAACTGTAGATTGTAAGCTCCCAGGATCAGCCCCTCCCGCTTAGATTGTAAGCTCCCAGGAACAGCCCCTCCCTCTTAGATTGTAAACTCCCAGGGTCAGGGCCCTCCCTCTTAGATTGTAAGCTCCCAGGATCAGCCCCCTCCCTCTTAGATTGTAAGCTCCCAGGGTCAGGGCCCTCCCTCTTAGATTGTAAACTCCCAGGATCAGCCCCTCCCTCTTAGATTGTAAACTCCCGGGATCAGCCCCTCCCTCTTAGACTGTAAGCTCCCAGGATCAGCCCCTCCCTCTTAGATTGTAAGTTCCCGGGATCAGCCCCTCCCTCTTAGATTGTAAGCTCCCAGGATCAGCCCCTCCCTCTTAGATTGTAAGCTCCGGGATCAGCCCCTCCCTCTTAGATTGTAAGCTCCCAGGGTCAGGGTCTCCTTCCTAGATTGTAAGCTCCAGGATCAGCCCCTCCCTCTTAGATTGTAAACTCCCAGGATCAGCCCCTCCCTCTTAGATTGTAAGCTCCCGGGATCAGCCCCTCCCTCTTAGATTGTAAACTCCCAGGGTCAGGGCCCTCCCTCTTAGATTGTAAGCTCCCAGGATCAGCCCCCCTCCCTCTTAGATTGTAAGCTCCCAGGGTCAGGCCCTCCCTCTTAGATTGTAAGCTCCCAGGATCAGCCCCTCCCTCTTAGATTGTAAGCTCCCAGGGTCAGGGCCCTCCCTCTTAGATTGTAAACTCCCAGGATCAGCCCCTCCCTCTTAGATTGTAAACTCCCGGGATCAGCCCCTCCCTCTTAGACTGTAAGCTCCCAGGATCAGCCCCTCCCTCTTAGATTGTAAGTCCCCGGGATCAGCCCCTCCCTCTTAGATTGTAAGCTCCCAGGATCAGCCCCTCCCTCTAAGATTGTAAGCTCCATGGGATCAGCCCCTCCCTCTTAGATTGTAAGCTCCCAGGGTCAGCCCCTCCTTCCTAGATTGTAAGCTCCCAGGATCAGGCCCCTCCCTCTTAGATTGTAAACTCCCAGGATCAGGCCCCTCCCTCTTAGATTGTAAGCTCCCGGGATCAGCCCCTCCCTCTTAGATTGTAAGC